TATTCCTATATAAATTCCTTAATAGCAGGCTTCTATAAACCTTCTTTAACTAGTTAACCCTAATAATTATATCCTAAAACAAACTAAGTAAGATAAAGGCTTAATAAATTACTAGATAAATAGAGAAATATATTAATACTAAATATTATTCTATAGATTTTAAAATAAGAAATAAGATATATATATTAATAAAGAAATAAAGAATATAATACTCTAGCTATAAGCTAGACTACTAAATAGCCGGGCCTTATCTGATCTTATATTAAGTTAGTAACTCCTATAAGGTTAAATTACCCGAAAGTATTAAAATTCATAATATATTCTCTTCCGACTATCTATATAAGAAGGCTAATAATCTACTACCTGGCCAGAAGAATAAACTACCTCTACTAATTCAAGTAATAATAGACCGAGAGTATAAAGTACAGGATATTCTGGTATTAAAGGCAGAGCAGGGAAAGCTCCTATATAGGGTCAGTTAGATTAGGTATAACGAAGACCTTAACTAGTATCCGGCCTCCGATCTGAAATACTCCCCCTATAAACTATAAGACTACCACTTGGCCAATTAATAATAGCCAGGCCTACCAAAGAAGCTAGTCGACTGGATACGAGCCTGGGAGGACGGGACGGAGGATTATAATAATTTGGATAACGATTCTATAATGCCTACCCGCTTGAGGGCAAGCTTTTTCCCGGGGGGCGGGGGGGGGTAATATCACGATTCCATGCTCCACCTAGCCTGGCATCTGGTATTTGGCATCTGGCATTTGGTATCTGAGCCTGGCATCTGGTATCTGGCATCTGGGGTCACATGACGGTTATACGTAACGAAGCTAAGGGAAGCTGCACTCTGGGAAATTTAGGACGCTAAGCCCCATTGGGCCGAGCTACAAGCGAAGAACTGTAAATACTTAAGGGACCTCAGCTCGAGACTCCCTTTCCTCCTTAGCTTAGTTTTCTCGATAAACAGTTCTCCTACAAGTGCCTCATCCGTGGGCTCCCTTTGTAGGTCTGTAATACAGAAGAGAGGTTTAATCCTGAGATTAATAGGCTATCTAAATCAGATTTTAATAAAGAAGTTAATAGAGATAAAGATATTAATAATAAGAATATATAAATATAGTTTTATTATTCTTTTCTATTATATTTTCTAGTAAAGCCGCAAATTATATATATTAAGAATTAGCCAGGAAATCTGCCAGGAGATTACTTGAATTGCCTCAAACTAGCCAATTAAAATTAGCTTAGTAATATAAGACCATGGTTGTGACGGCAGGAACAGAGCAATGGAACGAGGCTCAAAGATCAATGATTTCCTATGTCTTGAGAATTTAAAGCTAAGGAGGAAGGAGTGAGGTGTGGCAGTGGATAAGTAGGTATGGCCAAGACCACTGAAACGCCGAGCTTTGGTAGCGAGCTTGGTTTGAACCATAGCTTGGAACCTTAGCTAAAACCAACCCCTTTGGCTGAAACCACGTCCGTATCAACCATGTGACACCAGCCGTCACAATGGTCTTATATTACTAAGCTATTACACCAGGAATTGCTCTGGAAATGGTCTTTTATTAGGGGGTGGTCCTGAACAAGGGGGGGGTCATATACACCAGATAATACGGTAGTGACTTTGCCTTAACTATCGAAACTCGCCTCATAAGTTAGACTCAGCTCAGCTTCAAGAAGGGCGATATCTCAAATTCTGGGTGTAAAAGAGACCGTCTTCTGCAACTCCTACACTGCCATTCCAAAACACTCCCTGTTCTCTCCAACCCCACTTATTGTCCAGGGCCAGGACACGTACTATCAAACAGCGCCTTGCACCTCGCACTCCTTAAGATATTCGGCGTATTCCCCATAATATGCTCAAACTCCTCCTCCTCCGCCCTACTTCCCCTCTCATTCGCATCCGCAACCGTACTAACATGACCGAATTCCGCTGGGGGCACATAATGATGTATTAGCTCCGGATTAACCACCAAACAACTCAGATCCTTCTTTTTGCAACCATTCTTCATGCGAAAATCGAAAGACTCGTCTTCACCCTTGCCTGCATATTTCAACACATTGATAGCGCCACGGCGTGAGAGGGCAATGCCAAAGCTGCAATGTGTTTGTTGGCCCCGCTGTATTGACCGCTGTCCCGGCGTTATGCCTTCCATATACCGCCTCGCCCAGCCGATATACATCCCTGGATCCGGTGCAGAGGGGTCATCGTACATAAGCCTCCTCGTGTCGTTCCTAGTTGGCTCCGAACAATGACCAATCCACAACAGATCCCACGAATGCCCATACGGGCTGCAATTAGAAGAATCAGTCATTGTAAATTTTCTCACTGCGTCGGAAAGAAGTTTCATCGAGTTCTTAATCAAGACGTCCCAGTCTACATCGTCCTCGAGGATCAGAGCCGATTCGAGATCCTGGGCGACGATATATTTGATAATGTCGAGAAAGGACAGCCAATTCTTGACTTCGCCTCGGCCGTCGGGGCGCGGTCTGGTAGTAGGACCCATTTTTTTAAAAGCATCGATTATCTCATTGGTTAATGGTGGTTGGGCTGGTATCTCGAGATCAATACCACTATATGCAGCAGCGGCTTTGAGGCCTCTTGTTCTCCAGCTAGGGCCTTCCGAAAGCACCACGATCTTTTGGAACTGTGGTAGTTGCATTAGAAGAGGTCAATACATGACTACTGTGATCAGAAAAGGCTGCAAAACTTACGCCGAGTGTGGAATTGCCAGCAGTGTCTCTCGGTTTGGACCTGAGTCGGACAGCTGGACTCCGGTAGGCATAATAATATGTGATAATAGCGAAAATGCACGCGGTGACAAAGTATTTAACTTGACTGAACGAGAGTCGTCGACGAGTTTTGAGAGGGTGGGACATCTCCAAGTTGAGATGAGGATAAGTGCCAAGAAACTACCCCGCAGTATTGCACGTTTGAGATGTCGTCCACCCTGCTTCCCGAGCGCAGCCTCACAATAAGGTTGACCTCCAGATGTCGCTCTTTATATCGCAGACGTAATGAGAGAAGACGCGACGAGATTTGACGGGCACTTTGGCAGGTGGTCACGATGGAGGTGTGGATATTTTAAGAGGTGGCTGGCTGGTGGGTGCAGGTATTGTCTGCCAGCTGATGACAGGGGCAATGTGAGGTGGCGGGCGGACGAATCAAATACTCGCAAGCAATGCTTCGCAATGATTGGACCCGCTCTGTAAGCGACGCTCCCTGTTGGGAAGACTTTGAAATAATTCAGCTGGTATAACGGTGTAAGGTGTAGCTCTGTAAGGAAAGTCTTGTGGGCAAATTGGGAGCTTGAATTCGAAATAAAACACCTGTGCGTATTTGGATGCAGCTTCATTGATGACATGTACATACATCTCTTTCAGCCCATGCAGCGGAGTCGATGCCACACAAACTTCTCCGCTACCAAGTATTTCAAGAAAGAACGCGGCTGGGTGAGCAATGATCAGGACTTCTAAAACAATAAGGTTTGGGTGAGGGGAAGATAAGAACATATCCAAACTCGGAAATAGAGTCGAGGGTAACTAGACAGAGCGCTAGTTCTGGGAGTTCTAAAGCTTATTTCTCTACTAATATTAGGACCTTAATGGGCTAGGTGTAACGGCGCTGGCTGGGGACCAAAGGGGGGTGGCTGTTACATGACTGGTTTCACCTAGCTAGCCGGCATTTCAGTGGTTTTAGCTAGTACTTCCCTTCTTTTATCCCCTTTCCTTCTCTCTCTCTCCTTCTTCTCTTTAGCTTAGTATTCTCAATATATGGGATTTTCCTGGATCTTTGAGCCCTGGCTATTGCCTCGATCCCGCCATTATACTAGGGGCACCCCGTTCGGCGCCTTCGGTGCCTTATAGCATATGGGACACAACTATATACGGGATACATCTGTATATAAAGTATATCTATATTTAAAGTATATTCTTTACTAATACGAGGACCTTAATAGGCTAGGGGTACGGCGTTTGGCGCCCTTGGCGCCTTATAGGAGCGTATATATATATATCTTAAGTACAAGAAGTATATATATATTTTTAAGGATATATTTCCTAAGTAATTATAAGTAAGGGACAGAGGAATATATGTATTATTCACCTTTTATAATATATACCGGGGACTAAAAAATAGCCGAAAAAGAAAGCCCTATTTTATAATAAAATTATAAAAATTAGCTTGCAAAGTACAGGGGAAGAAGGCTAGAAGGGAATCTAATTCTCAATTGCATAAGCACCCGTTCTAGGGTTTACCCAGAGAGGATGCTTATACATTCTAATTAGAGTTGGCCTCCTGTCATTTCCCCTTTGGGCGTATATCCATGTTTTAAGAATGCTACGCAAGCAAAACAGGGATGTTGCAGGGATTGGCAGGGGCACACTGTTTTTGTATCTATTGGGAGAGTGTGTCGGGCAGATCACAGTGGCCCGTTTTAAGACATTGATGAGAGAACATGAAAATAAACTTTCTCTAACAAAAGGGAAGAAAGAAGTGAAACAACCGCAAGGTACAATAATTTTCCCATTTATGATTTTCTAATCCACCACTAATGTTTCGAAACGAGACGGTGAGCACACCTATAGCCCTTCACCAAATCAGCCAAAATCATGGGGATGAAAAGGGTCGCGCCACAGAGGAGGTTGTGCGCTGCGCATAGTCTGGTGTGGCGGTATCGGCGAGGCTTTAGACCGTGGCGATGTTTCTTCACTACATCCCTGGTGCATTCGCTTTTGGATAACAAATCTGATGCCTTGTGTCTCAGGTGTGACCTGACTTTCAAGTACGGACATGGCGTATCCATACAAATACAAAGAAGAATGGAAGTCATTTGAGCTAGTTCTTTGCTTTTTAATTAGGGTCATTACTTTCATCTGTACTTTGCTGTAACTTTTGACAGCTAATTCAACTTTTCGGACCGCTCAATCGGAGAACGATTCTGCAAGCGAGTCACTATTGCCATCACTGGGGCGTTGGGCGCCAACCTCCATGAGTGGTTCATCTGGATTGAATTGAGGTTGCATAAAGAGGTTCATTTACTGGTAGAGAATCCTCCGCTTCAGGGGCTTGCTCTCATTCCTAAAGTTAGCTGACTTCGAGTATCCGAAGCGGGTAAGAGTTGGATGTATACTAGTCAAATCTTCCAGTCCGCCGTACAATGCCTATCGTACATGTAACCCATCCAATTCTAAGCTCATGCCCTGCCCATACCTTATATATAATGTACAACATCACTGGTATTGATCCGAGTCACCTCAAATATCGCCCTCCCGGTCACCATCGTCGCCCTTCTTTGTTGGTTCGCCTTCTTCCCAGGTATTACCAACCCCCTCATCATCTAAATTTGTTTGAAAAGGCGGCTCCCTGTCCACCAACTCGTCCTCATCCCCATCAAACTCCAAAGGCCGCTTCGCAAAATACTTGTCCCCAAAATACCACGGCTCCTCAGGCTCCTTGCTAGTAACCTGCCTTACCAACATGGCTGGAGAGCGTGCCGGCGGCAATGTCCTCGAATCCTTAGCCGCCACCCTCTTGATCGCAGCTTCATTGAACATCGCTTTATCGTCATCGCCCTCGCCCCCACTCGTGATGACGCGCGCCACTCTGTATGCAAACCACACGAGGTCCTCCTCCTGCATAACTTCGCCATGTTTCCTTGGCCGAAGTCTCAGCTCACCTCGTGCACCTCCAGCCTTCCCGGCCTCACAGCTAGTATACAATAAAAGCCATCCGCTGTAAGTGAAAGCGCGAGTCCGCTGAATCTCGAGGCCGGCGTACAGGTACTCCACATCACGAACATCTTTCATATGTTCGCTGCTCGTCTTCGAATCTTTGCCATCAAGGAGCTTAAAGCCTGGCTCGCGGCAGATATTGCTGGAAATAGGGAGAGTGATTGAACGCGGGGTCTCCAAGGGTGCGTTGCCTGCGACATCCAAGTTGCTCCTCTTCAAGAAGTCCTCCACTTGGTCGATGTATCTCCGCTTCAGCTTGCTTGTGGTGCGCTGGTGGAAACGAAGATCGACTGCACTTCCTGGAAGCATGACGTCCTTCTTCCCTTCATGAACAACTGCCTGGATGTATTTCAACTTCACTGACTTGGCATTGTCGTCTGTGATATCGAATATCATCTCTATTGGAGGGAATGCTGAGAGGGCGGCGGGGCCAAGTGGACCCCTCGTGAGTTCTCCTTTCCCGGTTGGTGGTACGTGAAAGGGATTGGGCTGGAAGCGAACAATCAAGCGTTGAAGATCGTGTTCAGCCTTCACTTTATCTTGTTTCGTGCTGGCTTTGCTGAGTAGTTGTGATATGTTTGGGACATGCGTGGAGAAAGTGTGCACGACGGAATCGTTTGCTAGCTCTTCGGGGGGGGTAGGGCGAGGCATTGGTTGAAGTGGGCTATGGAGAACGCTTCCGAAAAGCACCGAGGTCTCTGTAAATAGATCTGAGCTCCAGTAAGGCTCAATGCCATTTTCAGCTGGTTTCGCCTTTTTGGTCCTGCCAGGTTTCAATTTCTCTCGAGGCTCTACTGGGGCACTAAAAATTATGGTTGGAGGATGCCTGTTTGGATTCATATGCAACTCGTATGGAATGGCATTCTTCTTTCCAGTAGGGGTTGTCCATCTTGACCAATTCCGAAGTCGTTCTCGCCACGGGAGGCCATCTTTAGCTAAGGGGTAATTAATCAAAGTTCCTTCAAGTCCTTTTGTGGGGTCTACATGGGTCGCCAGCTGATAGTGAACTCTGTCGGAGAAATTTCCAGATGTTAGTAGGAGTCGGGTTGCAGTATCGTTTTTTGTTCGCAAAGCGTCCGATTTGTTGCCAGTGGAGGATATTAGGATCTGCGCCTGTCAGCTTGATCCCCACAAGTGACCTATCCCATTACCTTGTGTTTCGCCTTTCTTGATATTGAGGTGCCCGACATGCGGCTTAGTTCCTGGAGAACCTCGTCATCGAAATTCTTCCGTGCCCATTTTCGTAGCTTTGTCACTGTAGGCGTACCAAGGGATGTTGGGTATAGACTTCCAAGGGCAAGTCTTTTCTTCTGAACACCCTTCACTGCCTCTTCAACGGCTTCAACAAGCAAATTCTTCTTGCCATGTGTAGTTGTGACTCGTATCACGTCTCGTGATGGGAAAGCCTCGAGGTTTTCTCCTTCGAGGATTAAATGTTTTGCGCGTATGCCGCTCAAAACAGAGAAAGATCCCACTGGAGCATGTCAGATTTGCTTCGAAATGAGAGACAGAGATGCTCTTACTAAGGAGAACCACGAGGTCATCCAGGTTGATTTTGATTTCGAATTGACCAAGACCCTCCTCGAGTTCTGGCAGCTCCAACATCCAGCACTCTCTCAACAATCGTAGGATGACTCGTTGCTTGGAAGTATGCGACTCGAGAAAATAACCACGAAGAGGATCGTTGTCGAAGTGATCTGTGTCATTCGATATGCCCGGCTGCCAAGGTGTGATTGCTAGAATAGAGGCTGTCTCCTCCTCATTGACCCATTCTTCTGGAGGACTAATCGGTTCTCGTTTGCCCTCGAATACCTCGATGTACCTTTCCAATTGTGTTTGTGTGAAACCATCTTGCAATTCGCGCACCAGGGCGTTGATATCATCCCAAGTCTCAGGCTTCGCTCCTTGCTTGGGTTTGAAGCCGGTGATATTTCTGTTGACCTCCTCTTCTCCAACTAACCCCCTTTCGTCTGCCAACTGGCCCAGGATATCAATATGCTCGGCCTTCTTGTCTTTCACATGGTCTCTCTTCTCGTATACCGTAATCCCAGAATCTCGGAGGACGATGACATTCGCAGCTTTCCCTAAGCTGGTCGTGGGTAAATTCTCGAGATTCTCTCGAACCTTGACCCCACGGTGCCCGTGTAGACGGCCGAGTGGTTGATGAGAGACCTTCGGGCCTGGACCAAAGGCTCTTCTGACAACATCGCCATTGCAGACTGGAGGTCTATCATCTCGAGGTTGTACCGGTAAAGCTGGCTGAGGGTTCGCACCTGTTGATTGTCGAGCAACTTGATACCCTGCTGGAGATCTGCGTTTGGCCAAGCTTCGCCGACAGCTCAGGCATATGTGCGACCTCGAGACAGGTCGTGTAATCATGTATGCGATTTCTGACTGGCAGGAGACAGTTTGTGATGATGGGAGATTTTTTCGGGGAGCGTCGGAGGTCGGCTGCTTTTTCTCCGAAGTCACTTTCTGCATCCTGCACGAGCGCGTCAATCGCGTCTCCCGAAGACGAACCTATCCCAAGACATCAACCTGCACAATACTGCAATCTATCCACATTAACAAGAGCCAGATCCCACATTCAGGTTGGGCCTTGGAGAGCCAAATAAACATCCAAGATGCCTTCTGCAGCCCGAAGACGACGCACGGTACGGCTACAATGCCCCCAAAGCAGAGCTGCTCCTAACTATCGCAGGTCCAAGAGGAAGACGAGTCCGAGGAAGAAAGACCGCAAAACACACAACGAAACCGAAGACGTGTGCCTCCATCCGAAGATGACTCGGAGGAAGAAGTACAAGATGAGGACGAAGAGATGCCCGATGCGGATGCAGATGCCGATGCAGAGCCGAACACCCAAGATCAGCTTGTGAAGAAACTCGTCCGATATGCTCTCGCGTGTGAATACCAGAGACTGCCAATTCGACGGGCGGGTATTACAGAGAAAGTCATTGGAAAGCAGCGTGGGCACAACCTCCGAAAAATCTTTGGCGCTGCACAAGACCAATTGCGAACCAAATTTGGCATGGAATTGATGGAACTTCCTGGGAAAGAAAAGGTCACAATGAAGGAAAAGAGAGGTTAGTCATATTATTTCCGGTCCGGTGCCACTTCTGACTGCAAATAGCTGCGTTGAAAACCAAAGGCGGCTCCAAATCAACTACATCTTGGATTCTCACAACCATCCTGCCTCCCGACTACCGATCGGCCGAAATCATACCTCCCTCTATCATTGGAAGTCCGGACGAAGAAGCAGCCTACATGGGTATATGTTCGGTGATCGTTTCCCTCATAGCTCTCAGTTCAGGGGGTGAACTCCCCGACCACAAGCTAATGAATTATCTGGAAAGATTCAACTCGGGTAAGAATACTGGGCTTGATACAACAGCAGCGACTCTGCAGCGGATGATCAAGCACGGTTATATTTATAAATCTACGGAGAAGAGCGCTGACGACGAAACGGTTCATTGGAGAGTTGGTGCCAGGGGCAAAGTCGAGATTGGTAACAAGGGAGTCCAGGGTTTGGTGCGTCAAGTTTATGGGGATAGTGCTCCTGGTGATCTAGATAAGCGCATGCAGCGCAGTTTAGGCATGGAAGTTAGAAAGGTTCCCAGGGAGAATGATGGGGGTGGGGGTGAGGAAGAGGACGCCGTTGAGGAACCGGCAAATGGAGATCCTGGTCCAAGCACTGCTAGGAGGGCAAGTGGGAGGAGAAGAAGGGAATAGATGCGGATGATTGCTTGCGTTTGGCAAGTTGCTGTAGAGCAACAGATTTACTGTAATAATGACATATGAATACGATGGGCGGCCCTGATATTTGCCAATGCTTGGCCACTGTTCTTTTGAGGTTTGGTAAATTTGTCTTGTGTTGAGACTTGTGGCTGTAGGCGGCGACCTTGCTACGGCGAAAGGCAGCATCCTTTTCACACCGGATCTCCCAATGCATTGTCTCATACCTTGTCCCAAGCTATGCTTCGTCCTTCTTGTCAACCAGGCTATCACCAAACCCCATCCCGTTCCCTCGAATCCACACATCAACAGACTTATCCGAATCTCAATCCCGCACTTCCGGCGGCTTGCCAACTGGTTGTATCATCTTCTATTGATCCCATCAACACGAATCCAATATATCTTTGTCCATGCAAGAAGAACTTACCTCAACCATCTGCGCCCGAACCTTCTCTCTGCATTCTCCCATTCCAATAGCCATATAGCTCAACAACGGCGGATGCCCAACGTAACTGGCATAGCTGTCTCTTTGGATATTGCTCGTCCACTCGAATCTTGTCGTGTCTGCGTGCCCCGTTCCGACATATCGCGCTTGGAGGGCTTCGAGCTGTTGCTGCGCGCGTAGTTTGTCCGCCTAGAGAAGGTGTTAGCTGGGGCAATACAATGTTGAGGGAATAGGACATACCATCTTGTATTGCGGGCCGTGAAAAGAGGTTGATACCCAAGTCCCGTGAGGTTGCTTTAAAGGCTGGAAAATGCTTTCGGAATGGAAAAACCCCCTTCCGAATCGCGCTAAAACATGCGCCAATCTCCACCTCTCGCCCTCAAGAACAAAACCCTCCTGGTGACTTCGAGCGTAAGTCGCGATTAACCTGGAGAACAAGACGGAAATTGAAGGGAGAAGAGGCAGATGAATCTCAGATCAAACTGAACAAGCTTGACGCAGTGCTGGTTTAAGGGGAAACCATGGCGTGAGTCTTCGAACTGCACACGTGATGTACACGTGATGCGATCCTCCCTTCCATCTTCGCATTCAAGAGGGGGAGGCTTCTCTACTCGTCTCACAACTAACTATGCGCAGCCTTGAACTTCAGATTCGCAGCCATGCTGGCCATCCTTGTCGTTTCGCCTCGTCTGGGCCTAAATACCCGCTCTCCCTGGACCAAAGAATTCGACAAGGCGAGGAGTTCCGCCACTCAAAAGCAAGGCTAGAAGCGGCTCTCCAATCCATCAAGAACCTCCCTCCTCATGGATCTCATACTGGACAACCCGACTGCGAAAGATGCACGCGGAAGAAGAACCAAATCAGAGCAGCATATCAAGAATACTACCTCTCCTCCGACCCTGATGCGTGGTCATCGAACCTCCCACAATACCGAGCAGCGATGGCAGAGAAGCTCAATAACACCAATGGCTACTCCTTAGCGGAAATTCATGTCTTCTTTCAATCCGCTTTCCGAGAACACCTGAAGCAAGACCTCTGCAAACCATTAGCCAAAGACACGGCCCAAACCCTCTCCCTGAAGTCCTCAACAGTCGCCCAATTCGACAGCGGTCGTCCTACTGCCGACATTTTGTCAGATTACGCGGCGGCAATAGAACGCAACGCCCCCCACGATGACGCAGCGGCATTTGCCTCCGCCGTCAACAACTCGAGGACTAAAGAAGAACGCGCACAAGTCTACATGAACTACTACTGCCGCCCTGCCTGGGCCGACTCTCCGCAACAAAAAGCCTTCAAAGCCAAGTATGCACGCATGTTTGGAGAGCTCATTCCGCACGATGAAGTTCTAGCAGCGATGAAGAAAGAAGCAGCAGACTCGCACGCGAGCAAGATCGATGTTTTGCAGCGGGAAATCAGCGAGTTGCAGATGGCACAGAGCGCGCATTTGAAGGTCAAGGCGAAGAAAGAGGAGAAGCATGAGAGGATGATACTGGACAGAGAGCCGAGTCCGAAGATGGTACAGTGTAGTCTGGATGGCTGTGCGAATGAGGTTAATTTGTTGGCGGATATGATTGAGTGTGCCATTTGTGAGTGGTTGCATCGGAAGGGTGGGGAGAGAGGACGGTATGTTTATTGTTCGGTGGAGCATGCTGATGAGGATTTCGTGAGTTCACTTCCTTCGTTGTTTGTCAGTAGCTGACAACGCACAGGACGAGCACGATCGCCATGAACATGCGTGTTGCATGGGAAATCGCTGCATCTACTACCCGCAGACCGGACCACCAGGCGAAACAGACGCAGTGGGTATCTGCGAGGATTGTGAAAAAGAGGAGTTTTACTCCCTTTTCTGCTCTGAAGACTGCTTCCATCATAACCTGGTATGTTCTTCTCGTCATTTCTCATGAACCTTCTGACTTATTTTAGGATGAGCATCGGGAAATCTATCATGAATCTCGGAGGATCCCAAGCATGTCGGACACCTTGGATCTCTTCCAACCTGCCGAAGACATGGAAATTATTTCTCAGGATTGATCCGAGGTGTGTCCCGAATCATCTGGAAACTTATACAGTAAACCCGAAAAGGCGCAGTTTACTTTCCCACCCAGCTACGAGTGAGACCTGCTTATGCAATGACTGGAAGCGCAGATAAGATCTTGACCCCCTACCTATTATTTGAATATCTGCTGCCCTCTACTTGATTTCTTTCATCGTGAGAGGGCAAGCGCTCGCTTACGCTTTCGTCTCTAATATCCCTTCAACTCACGTGAGGCTCACTTCGCGGCCTTTCGATCGAAAATTGAGCGAGAAACCGTATCACCATTCCACCAGACTTCGAGTTATTGATGACTTTCAGTATAAAAGTTGTACAGAATAGTTGCCTCAAAGTGCGCCTCTGCATGCGGGGCGAGAAAAACTCCCGACCGGTTTAAATACACGTTACGGGTAACACGTAAGCGCAGATACCATACCCCCGCCCCCCTTCCTCGCTCCAATATGAGTTATGAAATGTTGCGGTACGTCCCGTTGCGGTTACAATTAGTCAACATATCGCTTTTCTTATTTGACGTGAGATACTACTGCCTTTGTTGCGGCGTTTTTCATCTCGACTGACGTTACGCTTCGCCTTCCACCGCATGATCTCGGCAGGCGAAGAAACCTTGAGTGACAAAGAAATCGAATAGGCAAGAACGTAAAAGAAAACAAGCAGCTGTTCAGTTTCAGAAAGTTGATGGGCAGTCCAGCATGAGGCATAAATTTGTTTTTGGTTTAAAGGCGCGTAGTTGGAAAGGTCGCGAGCGAATTCGAAGAGGAAGGAACGGATTTATTTGTCCTAAATTTCTAACGGGTCTACATTAAGCTCGCCTTCTACCTTTGAACCACGCCTTCTTCCCAACGCACATAATTCGGGTCAACAATCGAATACCGTTGAGCCCCACGACGTCGTCGGCCTAACATCATTCGACGGAGAACACTTGCAACATCCACTGCATTCGGAGCCTCTCCTCTTTCCACATCCCTCTTCATTGGGGTCCATCTTCTTCTACATCCGAGTCATTGGCATCGGCCTCCTTCACCATCAGTCTCCTTCGGATTGTATCCTCGCGAGTCAACAAGATATAGTCCGACACCAAGAGTAGTTTACAGGCGGTCCCATCCTACACGAAGGTAAACCCACAGTCAAATGTTCTGCTTCAATGATGACGCTGACAGCTTCCAAAACACTCTAGCTACCGCCAGTCAAGTAAATACAACATCAGTAGCCTCACAGAAGAGTGCAACACAAGGTCCCTCGCAATGTTAGCAAAACAATCCCAGACGTCCAAGCTCTTTACTGACAACCAACCTTCCCCAGATAAACTCTGATACCACGACTTGTCTAATTCCTGAAGATATGACTACTTCAGCGATCCCAGATATTGAACGAGAGTTCACCCTATTCCCGAAGTTACCTCCCGAATTACGCGTCAAGACATGGAAGTACGCTTTACCTGGTCCTCGAGTTATTCCTCTTTGCATAGACGATAGCGGCACGAGACCATGTCGTTCAGCCAATGCGCTCATCACTATCAAACTTGCTTGCCATGAAGCTCTCGAGGTTGTCAAGAAGAATTACGTCAAGTATGTGCCTGTCTTGAAGTCCCAATCAGACTTCATCCAGGATGACCAAGGACGGCAGGCCTTCATCTACATCAATTACGACCTCGATACGATCTATATCCATCAGTGGGGGAGATTTGAGCAAATGCAAGAAAAGTGCTTGAGTAGGGCAAAGCACCTGGCGTGGAGAGGAAACGAGTTATTGTCGCAGAACTTTAGCTGGGCGGTACTTAGAGCGGCTTGTCCATTGATGAAAAGCCTCACCCTTCCCGGAACACAGAATCGCAATTGGCGGTATCATGACGAAGAATGGATGTTCCTTGATATACCAGACGGTTTCGGACTTGCGATAGAACTGCCAGAATGGGATGGCAGCTGGGACTCCTCAGAACTCGCGGATTCTTTTGACAATTACGGATATCTTGCACTGAAATGTGCCGAAGCGAAGCAAGTACGGGAAGAGTTTCACGAGTACGTCAAGAAACACGAAGAATGGAAGACTGCGGATTTCCAGATCGCAGTCCTTGGGCATCGAGAGATTGGCTCACTCCCCTGGAGTCTGAGTTACTTTCTGTATACTCCCGAGGAAGATGAAGACGGCGAAGTCGACATCCATGGCCTGAGCCATTGGCACGATGAGCCTGTTTACATCGAACACCGTGTTCTAGGCTCATGTCAACCTCGTGAAAAGTTGCCGAAGCGTCATCGTTGTCGCATATGTCGCGAGCAGAGATGGCTGGATTACAACGATGCCTTCTGGCTTGGGGAAGATGACGAAGCAGATATCGACGGCGCGGAAAAGTCCCCCAAATCGGCCACGAAATTCCTGAAAGATTCACCGAAGAAGCACACAGAAAGGGATAATTAGGGTGATGCTGATTCTGAAGTCTCTCAGTTCTCTGAAGCTGGGATATGCGTTTGAGGTAGTCGTTTTTCTCGCTACCAAAGTATGTTTTTCTTTCGCTTTGATATTTTGCTATGGCGACAATTACGGGCGAGAGTAAACAGTAGTAGAGAGGGTTTTCTAGATGAAGTTACTCACGCGAAAGGAGTGATGGACTTGGTCTCGCAGTAGTTCTTCGCTTTACTAGTAATAAATTTGTGCTATGGCACGTGACCCCCCCCCTTTGGTCGTTGTTGACTTTAAAAATGCGTTGGTGCGTTTTGTTCCACGGGCATTACACTACAACGTTGCTTTGACTTATCTGTTGTTGCAATGCGGGTGCCAAAATCCAACAGTGTGGAACCTCCCAGCCACCACGAGCGATTGTTCGAATGGCAACAACAGTCAGCACTGGAAGGCTCGCAAGCTTGGTAATGTTGCTCCAATACACGCCATTATCCGATGTCAGGTTTGAAGGGGGGTTATTGATAATGTCCCATTGTGCAATCCAAAAATATTCCACTGAAGAGTCGAACACGATGACGTTGACCAAGTCATCATTTCCAATTTTGTCGATGAGCGCGTGAAAGCAGAGGAAGAAATTGGTGTTTTCAAGGTTCATAGGTGGACTGGAGAAGGCTGCTCGGCAATAACTTGGGGTAGCTTTGGCGATGACAATGAATGCAGTCTGCAGAGCTATATGTCGGGAATGTGCATCTTGACTGATGTCAGTGCAATTCACTTTGAAATCACGAATTTAGAAACACATTCACGAGAGACAATTCCCGGCATATGTATACATTCTAGATGAGCACTAAAGACCTCAGTGGGCAGCCATTCTAACACTGCGGAAGTTCATTAGTTAGCGATACAGACAAGTTACTTCATTTCTCAGGAGTTCCAGCTTCTATTTCCCTTTAACCTTCCTGAAAGACACGACAAACACATCTAAAGTAGTACTGCCAGGGCATTGCCGTGATCTCAGGCAGAAAATCCATTGCAAATAGTGTTGTAAGCTCCATGCATGCGTTCTTGTACCTGTTTATCGCTCGCCTAATTTCAATGGAACTGGACGAAGGAAATTATGCCCCGCCTGAACCCTGCACCACCTATCTATCCCCAGACGGTCAAGAGAGCACCAATAGACGCGCTGGGATACAGCACATGAGCGGGTAGGAATGTCCTGGCTTCAGTTTACTCAGAGCATCTCCTCCGGGTCATTTCCAATCTTGCTGTTGCTCCTTTACCCCTAACTATCTCGCTTAACTTCTTAACTCACCCAACGTCCTCGATTGGTCATTTTCTGCAGCCATGGTCCACGCGACCTCTCAAAGATTAGTCGTGCGTGAGTTTGTCGTACTGCTTACACCACACCCAGTTCTTTCATTGATCGAAAAATCCCTGCGATAAGTTAGCCAGCAATTGGTGATCCGTCGGGTGACCAACCTACTTTTGACCCCGAGCTCGAAGCCGCAAGGCTGGCAGCCAACAGCGAGAGCTGCAGGTCCAGCATCAGTATGTATTATCTGTGAAAAGTAGACGAGAGAGGTCCTCTGATGCCCTCGGAATTATTTGTGCTTCTCAAGCTTATATTTACTCGCCAACTGAACACAGACAATATTGATGAATTGTATGACAAGGCTTGAGCCAGTGTTTTTCGAAATCCTCCTGCTAGAATTGATACACCAGAGTAAATTGAGTATTGAGCCCACCACAATAGCAGTGTTAAAGTTGAAATGGAAAATATGTCGCGATGAACCGGAACTTGCTAGCTTATATGGCAATCCAAAATCACGCAAAAGCTAAGCGAGTTGTAAAAGGGGGGCCGATGAGACAGACGCCAAAGTGGCCACAGCACAATCATTTAGTTTCGGGGTCTCAGAAAAGAACAATCCTATGCCTTAGGACCAATACTCTACTCAACCCCTCAATGCACAAGTACTATCATCTCGGACTTTGAAAGGTGCAGCCTCATATTTGCTTTTTTAGGCTTCCAAAAGTGAAACTCCCCAGATGAAACCCGCGCCCGAGACAGCCTCGCATTTCCATATGTCTATATATTTCACAAAGTCAGCTGGCGGATCGCGGGACGCACCAGTTATTTTCCCGATTTGACAAAAGATTGCGAGTCAGTCCACTCAGTAGGGTACTTGAATTGGCCAGCGCTAATAAACATGTCGTCTCAATGGAATATTGACGTTGAGAAAGGACGTCAAACATCGACGGACTCCATACATCTTCCACCCGAATCGACAAGTTCGCCAAAATGCCCCCTTTCCACCGATACCAACGCTCCATTGACTAGTTCATCGCCTGGTGAAGGGTCGCACCCTCTAAACTATGGGGATCGGCTTGTCTCAAACTACTTAGCACCGAGGCCACACCCCAGATTCGACAACATGAACTACGATGACAAGATCATACAAGCAACAAGATTTCGCCATTTAAATATCGCCCGCATCCAGCACGACCTGCTCCGTCTTCAACATGTACTTACGAGCCCAGGGGGCGGCACCGAAGAGAACTTCGCACGGCTGTCCTCGCTTCTCACGAGCATGGTATGCTGTCGAAATTGTTTTCTACGTTAACTATCTAGGTGCGCTGAGAACTAACGTCGTATACAGCCACAACAATCAGAGACTGGGACTATATTAAAAGTGCCACAGTCAAGATTAATCACAACCCCCGGCATATGGAAAGAACTCTGTCTCAGTATCCCGAACTTCCTTGGGACAGTGCCACCGCGCCACATCGTTTTGCGCTACTCAGAGAAGCAGAGGAGACCCCGCAAGATCTAACCACTATCATAGGTGCGGTACTTCCTCGCTCATGGAGCTGGTCCAAAGCAGAACAGCAATTGAGACCAGAATCATATAAGCTAGACCTTCATGGGGTGTCAGGGGTTAGGCCAAGATATCCCTCCCTAATTATGACCATTCTCGCCGGTACAATTGTTTCATTAGCAAGCAGTGTATGCATTCTTGTGCCTACAATTATAATGAGTTTTCAAGGTGATAGAACGAAGAGTCTTGTCACGGTTGCGGTCGCTGTTACTCTGTTTGGATTTTTCCTTGTGGTTGGAGTACGCACGAAGATCTCTGAGACTTTCTTGGCCACGGCGACATATGCGGCGATCTTGGTTGTGTTTGTAGGCTCGAGTAGCTCTACATATAATTGATTAATAGAAGGTGCTTCCCCTTTGCGTGTTAGAGAAGAATGCAATGTGTATATAAACAAACTTATTTGCACCAAATACTGCACAATCAGCTTTGAAGCGAGAGATGAAACACAGAATCTCGCTATTCACGCTCGTATCGGTCGCGAGTTTCAACACCGCCTTTACAGCATCCTCAAATGAGGCATTCCCAATCCCGGCTGAAGACCACCATTCCCAGCCTACCACATGGATAATGTCGGTATGAATCATCCTAAACTCCTGGCGACCGGCCAACCTGCTTCAGTAAGCGTTTTACGGGCCAGAATGACTTACCAAGGAGCAAGACAGTTCACCCTCACCCCACTCTCCCAAGCCCCTTGCCTCAAAACTTTCATCACTGCCCTCCCAGAGCACTTCGAAATATCATACTGCAGTCTCCCAGACTGATCCATATACTCCGCCAAGCTAGTAACGATGACCAAAGACTTGTCTCCTCGTACTCCTCCAACCCCCTCACATCGACATTAATGCATTGCAAGATGCGTCGTGTATAGCACCCCCTTCTGGTTCACGTCGAGAATTTTCAGGTCCCGCTTGATCGGCGCTCCAGATAGATCATCCGTCTCATTCATCAAGTGGAGTCCTGAGAGCCAAGGAAGACAACAAACCTGTGTAATTTGCGAGTCCATCACCCGTACCTCAGATTCTAGCGTTCGCGATGACAATGTCGCAACTCTGTCGAGGCGAGTTCTCGACCGGGGCCTCGAAGAACTGCACTTGTTCGTCCCAGTCGCGGACATCGCATTGGGTGAATTGGTAATTGCTGTTTGTTCGGTTTTGATTGCTGACATGGAGAAGCTGGTGACCTACGAGCCTACAGTAGTTCAACGACCGTTTGATCACCAAGAGTGCGGTTCACGTCTCCAATTGCCACATATGCACTTCAAAATCAGCTACTGCTATCCGGTAGCTATGAGGAGACATACCCGGCGTCTACAAAAGCTTTTGCATAACCTTTCCCCAGACCATTTACACCTACGTAAAGTTAGTCCGAACTTCCCGTCTCTGGCTCTCAGTCTTACTCGATGTACCTCCTGTAATCACCACCGACTTTCCTTTCAGGGAGTTAAGATCAGAGTGCGAGGTTGCGGTAACAGGACCGCGGTTCTCATATTTTGGAATAGACATTTTGCGTCTCGAGTAATTACATTAATTTCTCAACTTCGATGTCTTGCAAGAGAGACAGAATATCGAAGGTTGAGGGGGATTTGTCGACTGATATATGAATGTGAGATGACGAAGATTGACAGACTGACAGACCAGAGGTAAAGCGTATGCATGGCTACCGGACCCGAATCATTCCTCAGAATTCGAGTGGTGTTTGTTACGAGCCAGTAGAAGTGGAGAACATGATGACGAGTCGGCTGAGTAGGGTTTCTATTGGATATTTACGGGGATGCTAAATCTGGGATGAAGGAAAAACAACAAATAAATTCTTTTCTAAGTACCATAAATAAAACATCAGCGCAACACAGCCGTCAATCGTGCCAATGGCGTCGAATCAAAGGGTATAAAGCGCACCGCAACGCTGGAAAACAAGTACATGCTGCATATCTTATGAAACCACTCCTTTGGTTTCCGCCCCCTCCCGCCCCTTCAACCCCCCCTTTCCACCCAACTTCACGACCAATCAAGAACTCCCAAATCAAGCCTCAGGAACAATCTCACTCTCCTCAACCTTGACCCCGTTCCCCTCAACCTTCTTTACCTCAACACCCTTATCACTCTCCCCGACCTCCTCACCCATGCTAACCCCATTGCTCAAACTGATCTTCCCCACAAGTGCCTTAACCTCCTTAACCTCAACGAGAATCTCCGCACTCTGGTCCTTCTTGTCCTCCTCAATCAGCGTCTTTACTTCTTTCACGGAGCTCAAGATCTCAGCATCCTCTTTGCCGACCTCTGTCTGCAGAGCCTCGAGAGTAGAGAGGATCTTTAGTCCGACGGTATTGTCGGTTGGGTTATCTTTGATTTCGGACAGGGTCGTAGTCTGCGAGTGGAGGGTGGTGATGATTTCCTTGACGGAACCTTCGAGGTGGGACAAATCGACCTTCTCGGGAGCAGGGGCGGGCGTGTGCACAGCGGACTTGATTTCGTCCAGGTGAGCAGTATGTTGATCTAAAGTGGCAGCGAGTGGTGAAAGGTCGACCGGTGCGGGGACAGGAGCTGGGGTGGTAACTGCGGTCTTGATTTCGCTCAGGTGGGCCGAGTGTTCATCTAGCTTAGTAGAAAGTGGCGAGAGGTCGACTTTTTCTGCCTCTGGAGCAGGTGCAGAGGCCAGAGATTTGAGTTCAGTGAGGTGTGTGGTATGTTCATCAAGTTTGGCAGATAGCGGGGCGAGGTCGACCTTCTCGGGCGCTGGAGCTGGTACAGAGGCAAGGGATTTGAGTTCAGCGAGATGAGCTGTATGTTCGTCGAGTTTAGATGCAAGTGGGGACAGATCAACCTTCTCAGGAGCTGGAACAGGTGCGGAGACTGTAGATTTGATGTCTGTCAGGTGGGCGGTGTGTTCGTCGAGTTTAGCAGCCAGCGGTGATAGATCAACCTTCTCAGCAGCTGGAGCGGGCGTAGCAACAATGGATTGGATCTCCGACAAGGTCTTGGTGTGGGCGGCATGAGCTTCATTTGAAGCCTTAACTCCCTCCAAAATTTCAGGGCTGAGATTTGCCGCTTTCAATTCTGTGTGTGATGCTTCATGTGCCGATTTCAACTCCGCAAGAGCAGCAGCGTGGGCGGTATGCGAATCATTGGATGCTTTGACACCAGCCAAAACCTCCGATCCAACGTCCGATGCCTTAATCTCCGCCAACGTTGAATTCTGTGCCTCGATTGCCGTGAGAACATTGCCAATTTGCGTACCAATGCCAGAGAATCCAGTGTTTTGTCCAATTTCAAGATCTGCTTTGAAGGTGCCCAGGTCTGATTTCAGTGCTGCAGCAGACTCGGCATTTTGCTTGATGATGGCGAGTTCGGCGGTGATGGTGTCGAGTTTTGTAGCGTTGTCGGAGAGGGAGAGGGAGACTGGGGCAGGCCCTTGCTCGTGAAGTGTCTTGAGATCGGTGGAGATTGTGTCCAGCTTCTCGCCATGCGATGTCAGGAGTGTAGTGTCCGGGGATGCAACGCTTTCTTGGAGTGCCTTCACAGTGTATCCCAGCTCCACCAACGATTCCGTGATATGTGCCACAGCAGCTTCGATTGCAGAGATCTTGCCAGCGGCAGTAGTATTGTTTGTGTCGAGGACGGTAGACAGGTCGGAGAGCTTCGTATTCGTTTGGGTGTTTGACTCGGCAATTCGTTTGGACAGTTCGGCATTGGACTCGAGCAGCTTGGTTTCGACGGTTGAGATATCTAGAGCAGACTTGAGAGATGGCTGGAGCTGTGTAGCCAAATGGCCAGCAACAGCTTTGGTGAAGTCATCGCCGGTCAGAGCTGCAGAGACTGCCTCTGCAATGGCCTTCTGGACCGCCTCCTTGTCTTTTGCTTGCTCTTCTTCCGTGGGTGCTGCTACCGCCTTGGGCGTGCTCGAGTGGCCTCGCAGGCGCTGCCACAGAGAAGGGGACATGGCTCCAAACAACGATGCTGGGAGGTTCTGGATGTATTTGAAAAACGACGACATCCGTCAGGGTAGTGGGGGACCTTTGTGGTGTTTGGAGGTTGGAGGAAGAAGGAAAATGGGAAGATCAGAAGATCCGACGTTACCTCGCTAGCGTTACTAAAGTAGCTAAACACACGCCGTGCAGGCAACTGAGGCCGCCGCGGCGGACAATTGTGCGTGTGTTGTGCGACTTGTGCGCGATCGATGTCTAATTGCGAGTCTCAGTGTGTGCTGCGGTGCCTTGGGTTGCTTTGGGTCGCGTCAATTTCCGGGATTTGAGTCGGTGAGGGGAGCTTGAGCCGTAGCGAGGGCAACGAGGGCCGGCCCGCCAGTTTTTCCGCCTGCAGGGCCCCGGTCAAGCGCTGCAAAACAATCAAAAACTTCACCACCGCGTCGTCCAACGTGTCCCAATTAGGGGCAGCCCCGGCCCCCTCAGTGGTTCATCATTCATGCAGCATTGCAGCCGAATGCACTCCCCACCGCCGTTAGCTCTCTCTGGCTGACTCGGCCTCCGTGGGCTGCAGGCTATTCGTGCTCTTGTCGGCCACTGAGAAATTCTGCTTTTGTCGCGGAGGGTTGGATTGGGTTGCGTTGGGAGTCATGTGCGTGCTGTACTTGCATATGGACGTCGTTTGGGCAGGAGAACAAGATGCCAGTGCATTGTTACTCCGAGTCATTGCCCTATCATCGCTGTACAGTTGTATAGACAACGCATTGGAGGAGAGATCTGAGACAATGTGCCTGCAGGAGTGGACGTGTTCCTCTGGGTGGGGGCTGTCACTCTGACATGAATCACGATCACGTCCCAGATAGCGAGCTTTCTTGCTTATCGTCGTTTACATACATTTGCTTTCATGTTTTCTAGAAGATGTCGGAAGAAGTCTCCCACGAGTTTCAGCGTCACGTTCTCATTGTGGTTCTCACGTGATGCAGCCGAGTTGATACAATCTGCGCCACAACTGATGCTTTTTCACCCTGGCGAAGAAGTGGCGATACTCGTCTACCTTTGCTGATTGCTATTTTGTTTCTATTGTCTGCCCCTTCAACTGCTAAGCTCAAGTCGAATCCAGTGCAGCCTCAAACTCTTCTTGCAAAGCAGGAAGTAGTTGCAATAGATGAGCAAAGTCTACGCATAGAATTGAAACATCTAACACTTTTCTACTCAATAGTTTTGAGTCGTGCGGTTACAAAATAGCCAGTGACGGTCGTCTGAAAGGTCATTTTCCCTACCCAGAAGAGACGAAAAGCCCCCAAAAGAAGGCTTCCATACGAGCACAACCATGCAGCTGAGGCTCTCACCAACAGCGTTACTGCCTTTCAGCTACCTAGCCGCACCACCAATGCGACATACTCAAGCAAGACGAATATTTTGAGATGTCGGCCATCAAGTAATTAGTTGCTGCCGATAATTGAACAGATCACCGGTGGCCGTTGAAGGAAAGGATCACCTTTCATTGCCTCTTTTTGCAGGCAAGGCTTGGGGGCGGCCGAAGTTGCTATCTAACGCCTCGATTCTTCTTTCCCCTCATCTCCATTTCTCATGCCACCTTCCTTCCTCACTAACTAATCCAACCATGCTGCTACTTCTCTCTTTCCTCAATCTCATGCTATCTGTGAGGGTAGTGTCAGCAGCATGCTACGACTTCAACTTCAACCTGAATACGCCCCCCGGTGCCCAGCCTTGCAACAACATCGTTGGCAGGATCTCCATGTGCTGCAATACAAACCTCTCAACCTCGGACTTCCTGACACGCCCGACAACCTGTCTCCACAAACGATCTCTGCAAGAACGTAGTCGCGGGTTCGGCAAACGACATCACCACAAAATATTGGCGAGAAGGGTGTAGCGACAGGGGGTGGAACAGTCAGTATTGCTTAACGGGAATCCGCACCTCTTCTTCTGTGAGTAACCCCCCTCCCAAATAAATCCAATCGTGGAGAATCAGGAACAGGGACAGGGCTAGGACAACAGGCGTTGTGTTATAACTGGCAGCCTTTTCCCCACCAGCGTAGTTTGATGACCATTTCAATTGCAGGATGTAGACGGCAGCAATGACGCGCTAATGACTCCCAGTGACGGCACGGCAGCATCAGCAAAATGGTGCTGCGGCTATCAGAACATAGACTGCTGTGGCACATCCCAGGAACTTGTATTCCGCAGTATCAGCATCAGGTTGTACGAGATGCGAGGAGATCCGAGATCGCCGGGAACGCATGGAGAGCTCGCGTGACGTTGAAGCTCTGAAGGAGCTTGTCTTTCCTCTCAGGATTTGTTTTTGGGCTGGTTTTAAACGGCAGCGAGGCGGTAACAATCGTGATATAATACGCTAAGTTTGAGCGTCCATGAGAGGGACGAGAAGAGAGAAACTCGATGCCCCAAGAGGTTTCCGCACAATTTCAGCTCGATGCTCCTTTCCTGGTTATCCTTTCTATTTCGGAAAAAAACTGGAGATCAAGAAACACATGATATTACGTCAGTGTGCTGCCCTCCCTCAAGTGATGGTGTTGTGGCGTTCCATCCCCTGTCTTCGTACACTTCAGCCATTCACGGATCGAGGATCAGCGGGTCATCCCGCAAAGCATCCATCCTTTGGCAGCCCTCTTTTCGAGCATCACTTCCACATGTAAAAAGTTCGTATACCATGGCCAACTGAATTCATAAGCCTTGTGAGCATTCTAGGCATTTCGTCACAATGCGGCGGGGTTTTAAGGCGTAGTTTGCTTGGATTAGGGCCGCAGGGAACAGGATATAACCCTGCTCCTTTGGCAGAAATCATATCCCCAACATACGTTTCACATTTCCTAACTTGCGAAACAACTGTGTTCGCTTCCAGACTTTCAGATTTGACCTTAAGAGTTTAGGTTTTAGTAGAGTCTCCGCTGTTCCGTAAGCTCATTCAAGTCTGGTATCCATCCGTACACAAAAATCGCAATGTCTTCAAACCTCACACAAGACTACGCCCTGCACTGCCAAACCGCCCGCGCCCCCGATTACTACGGCCTCGGCGTACGCCTAGGAATCTACTTCGCCTGGCTACAAGCGTACATCGCGAACCACCTCCTACCCACCGAAATCGCCTCCGCAGCAGACACAAACACCATCTTCCTGCTCGCCCTGCTCATCGCCCTCATAAAATGCAGCAGCATAAACATGCTGGAACAGATCGACGGCTTGATCCTCATGCATTTATCCGGCGGCACGATTTTTGGGATCCTGAGCTTGTGGGGATACCGCACTCGTTTCTACACTGACGAAGGTCCGGTGGCGATTAGACACTTTGGTGGTTTCGGCACACATTCACGATTGATTCTGAGTCTGGGAGTTAGTATCTATGGACTTTGGTACTGGCTCTTCGCTGTTACGGGAAGTTTGATAGCAATGGGTAGCCGGCTCGAAATTGGCGAGCTGGCCGTCGACCCGCCGAACTCGCCGGATTGCGCAACGCTGTATACATTCATGTTCGCCAAGGTGCGCGCCGATGGCGGGATCAGGATTTTCTACATCATCGCCTGTATCTTGTGCACGATCTATTTCGGCATCATGCTCCTTGCCTCCAGTATTGCGGGCCGCAAGAGACTGCAAAATATCGTCGAGTTGGCGAGGCAGAAACGCTGGGCTGATACGAGTAGATTGCGTTTCGCGACGGGGTTCAAATATCATGAGTTCGTCTCCCCTTTCCCTCCCCTTATCAGAGAGATGAGTGGCTGATGAGTGAGGAAGGCTTCAAATCATTTACAAGACTCTGAGACTCCTCAACTTCGCGTGGTTGGTGTACTCAGCTCTGCTAATCGAGTTCACGCTTAATTTCAACAACGTAACCGCCGTGCTTGGAGGTCCGCATAGCAGCGAACTGCATTTACCGGGCCAGTTGCTTCCACTTCTCATTGGAGCTTTTGGATTCGTGCGTATCTGCTATCTGGTCCTTGAATCCTGGAGGAGCGGGAATGACGTCGAACCTTCACTCGCCACGAATCAAAGAATGAGGCTGGAAGCAAGGACTTTGCATACGAAAGATCTACCGCTTGCGTTCTCGCCGGCTATGAAGAGGGAGGAGAGGGTGAGGAAGGAACATGAGCCGGATGAAGTCGACGAGCTGGAGAGAAGGAGGGGGAGGGCGGCGAGGTATTTGGTGAGTTGGTTGCCTTGGTTGAGTTTGCTGGAGGGCTTTCGTGATGAGCCTGTTATGGGCATCGGGAAGGAGAAGAGGTGGAGCGAGTATAGCGGGGTGCCGCAGGAGAGGGAGAGGATTGAGTTGGAGCGGCCACCGAGACGGGGTGAGCGAGGGGAAGAAAGAGTGGAAGGAGCAACTGGGAACGGGACCGCGGTGAGGCATGGGGAGACTGTCTGAATTCTCATTGAATGGCGTCTTGAATGGCGGTATACTGAGTGGATACGTGTTTTTGGGAGCAGGAATAATAAGAGTTTGGTTACTTTAAGAGAATGAATTGGAGAGACGTTGTCGACCCTGAGCTAGTTAAGCGAGTGAAATAAGGGGTAGCGAATTTTAAGCAGACTTTGGGTCAAACTATTTTCCCGGTGGCACGGAACGTTATGTTTTCACGGAAGAAGTTTTTAAGTTCTGGGATGACTTTAGTTGGCTGTGTTTGCTATATACTTCGAAATTATGACCGGAGCATCACTCGTAGCTCGCCCGACTCATCAACGCAAGAAGCGCTCTCTGATTCCTCCTTCTCGTTTCCCCTAACGTAGCAGACCGTGCAGGTGGATTCTCAATCTCAGGTGTGTTTGGGGATATTGCTGATTGCCTTGGAGTAGTCGGCTGTGTTGGCGGCGATACGGGCGTTGAAAGTGGTTGCTGTTGTTGTTGTTGTTGTTGTTGTTGTTGTTGTTGTTGTTGTTGTTGTTGTTGTTGTTGTTGTTGTTGTTGTTGTTGTTGTTGTTGTTGTTGTTGCATTGTGAGATCTGACGAAACTCCCCCTCCTGGGTCCAGGGGGGTACGGGGTGGTAATGGAGGGCCGCAGGGTTGGTGTTGTTGCGCAGTTGGGTTTGGTATTGGTATTGGTAGTTCGGGGAGTGATAGGGGGCCGTAAGGTTGGTATTGTTGCGCCGGCGGATTTGGTAGTGGTAGTGGTATTTCGGGGAGGTGTGCTTGGGACTCTTGTTGATTCTGATTTGGATGCCAGACATGCGAGTACGACTGCTCCTGTGGTTCGGAGGCTGTTTGTGGTTGGGGTTGTGCCAGCGGTTGTGGCTTTTGTTCTTGAATGTGGGCAGGATCGTGATAATGATCAAAGTCATCTCCCCAACCTTCACCGCCATAATTTCCTGGTTTGGCATCAACCCATTTCTTGGTCTTTTGTCGATTGATGTTTGTTGCGTACGAGATATTCAGTCTACCAGCAGCTTGGGAACTCCTGAGGGATTGTCAGCAACTTTCAGCTCAGAATTGCCTTCTGCAACTTACGTCGAGGTGCCCTCCGAGAAGCTGCGAGCTTTTTGGGGCGCTGAGGTGCGAGATGTGAGCAGAGAAGATGTAAATGAATCTAGAGCTTGAGGGACCTGAGAGAAGGTAAATGTTTGTGAAGGCATCTCGTCGGACCTCGGTTGATGCACCTTTTCGGGGACTTGTGGAGCATAACTAGGCATGGAGTCATGAGGTGTGGAATCTGCTGGCATCTCGGACGGGAAATGGAGGCTTGGGTTGCGTGTACGAATGTTCGAGGTTAGCTCTTTGAAGGAATCGATTGATTGTGATTCCCAAGGATGAATATCACTGGGTACCGCGGTGAGCGGCCTCACTAGGAGGTCTCCCATCATCTCCGCAATGAAATCTAGGTTAGGTTGAGATGTTGCCGGTTCTGCCCAGAGTTCATATGGGTCCACAGGTCCTGGTGAGTTCATTGTGCTGAATTGTTGTGACGATAGGTCTTGTGAAGTTTTTCCCGGTAATGGTGTTTTTATTGAGATGATAGGCTGATCTGGAGTTGGAGGCTTCGGAGGTAGAGTCGACAGCCATGGACTTTTGTTGTCTGGAGGCTGAGTAGGCCATGACAATGCGGTGTGGAACGACGGTGGTGAATTCGTTGTAGGGGGCACTTGTCTATGAATCGAACCCACGGAATTAGCGGGAGAAGGATGTAATGTTGTTGCATCCGCTTGCTGTACCCCAGTTGTGGAGTTATTAGTAGGCAACGACGTCCAAGATTGCGTGGCAGTTGGTAAAAGGGGAAGGTGACTTTGGCTAAAATCTTCTGTGGATCGTCTTGGTGCAAAGGAAGATGATGCTGGCATCGGCAACTGTAACGAAGACGCAGAGAAACGGGATAACACTGGGCCTCCATATATGCTTGACAAAGAGCCAGAGGCCGGTCTTGTAGAAGACATTGATTCCCAGGAGCTCGTGGCCCCTTCCTGGGGCATACCTTTGCCTAGCGATGCATCTGATGTAGTCGAAGTTGGAAAGAGACTCGGGCTCGATACAGCAGGGGATGATAGAGAGAATATCATAGATGACGATGGGCGGAGCCTGAGTTGCGCAGCCGTCGACGTGTCGAAAGCTGCTGGCAGGGAAAGAGTTGTCAGCGGACTCGGGCTTGGCATAATCAAGAAGAAACTATACCTTCAACGTCCCTTTTCTGCTTGTTGTCATCCCTATCGGTATAACGAGCCTTCATTCTTTTCTGCCGTGGGCTTAGGAGGTCATCAAAGAATGTGACTTCGTCGTATTTAGGGGGTTCTGTAGCCGTCACAGCAGTTGATTGCTCGATGGGAGTCAAGTACGCCAGCACGGTCGATAAGGTCTGATGGCTCGTCCTCAACTCCATACTTCGATTGACCAACTTCTCCTGGTCATTGAAGACCCATCGGACTCTCGTCTCGAACGAAACATTTCCATATCCTTGTCTCTCTACCCTCACGCGCTCAACCCATCTCCCGATCTCGTTCAGCGCGGCTTTGGTGCTGAGAACAGAACCTTTGATCCATGGTAGCTTCTCTGGTGCACTTATGAGCTTTGTTTTGACAGATGGTACGCAGAGAAGTCGCTCAGTTTCTTCCAAGTCCAGTCGAATTCGCTGGATCAGTCGTACGAAAACTCCATTCTCAGATTCAACTCCGTATAGCTTCACAGCATACTCTGCAAGCTTGAAGCAACTGTTCAGAAAGGCAAAAACAGCAGCAGTGCTGACTGGCTCCCCCATTGTTCATGCCGCTACCCACTTGCGATGAGATGATGTGCCAACAGCAGATTACGGCGCAGGATTGATAGACAAATGTAACGGCATGGCATTCTCCGAATTACCTGATCAGAGATTGTTGGCTTCGGTCAGTCTGGATGGAGTTGTGGAGTTATCTGCTATCTGCGGATCATTGCGCCATAAACGCGCCGGGGACCCATCAGAGTGGAATGTTATCTCTGGGATTCCGATAACCCAACCATGACCAGCTTGGCTGTGGGGTAAGCAATAGACGGTTGCAGGCGAACCTTGGCTTCTGGCCGAAAGGGGGTAAGTGCAATTCGGGACTTCAATCATTGGTGTGCTGGCTAGCGGGAGGAGAAAAAAATGGCCGATTTTGACAAATTCAGCGGAGACCAGAAAATCAGTATTTACTAGACACCAAATTAACTTCTTTTCTCTCTACGACTTCTTACGGTCATACCAGATCTCGCAAGTCCTATATACGTCTTTTGCACCTTTAATTGACTTGTGTTGTCTCAAAAAGAGGGCAGGAAGTTGAGGTTTTGGTGTTGGCGCAGGGGCCAATTTCGGCCGCTTATTTCTCCTACGAAGAGGCTGGACATTCCTGCGAGGCTTGACAGCAAGAGAAAGTCTTAGCCATACCATTCTCCACCCTTGTCAACAGCAGCGAAATAGGAAATCGCAGACGGCACCGAACAGCCTTCATTTGTCAGGAGCTCTTGATATGAGACGTGGCGGGGGGTGATATGAGCCTGTGACCAATATCGTGATCTCCATGAAGGGAAGGCAATGGAGGGGCTGATTTTTGCCCAATTCTCGAGCCGTGCTTTCTTTTCTTTTTCTCCGGTCTCGTCCCTCAACGTGGCATGCACGAGTCCAAGACAAGAAGTTAAGTCGTACGAAGTGGGATATTCCGATGCATGGAGCCAAGACATCAACTCAAAGTGTCAGTGCGGCTGAAAGGTGCGGTGCATGTGATATGTGGTAGGGTCGCCGATTGGATGGGTTCCCTCCTCCGGCACAGTCGGGAAAGTCTCAGGGCGGGAGCTTATCTTCGGGCGGGAGAGACACGGGACAGATGCATTTATTACGGTAACTAACGCCACAAAGTCCCCAGAAAAGGTTGTTACCATATACTTCAGCACCACCTCCACAATATTGAACATTTCTTGGAAATCCCCGAGAAAGCGGCTGAGCAAGTCTTCAGTCCTTCGCGTGTGCCCAGATTCCCTCATGCCAGCCCAGCTCCAAAGACGAGAACAAAATCAAACCACTCTCAAACACCTATCAATATCTGCCCAATCCGGCTACCACCTCCTTCTCACTCAATACTCTTGGCGGTGAGAGCCTCTCCCCCTCGTCATTGACCGTAATCAGTAAAGCCGGGAAGACTACCAGGCTATCAGGGTGTCCCGTCCTGGTATAATCAAAGACAAATGAGCTGGGTTGGCTGAACATCAGGAATGCGTATTGAGCAGCTCGTCTCATGATTCCTTCTAGATTGCGGCGGCGTACATTCGTGTCGATGCTTGGATTGACGAAAGGACGCAGGACGGGCTCAGAAGAAGCAAGAGCATCCGCAATACTGGCTTCACGTGGGTCGTTTTCGTTTGGTTGCTGGCTGTATCGTTGTTGGAGAAGGGTTCCTGAAATGGTCTTCCATTTGCTGAAAAGGGCAACCTCAGCTGGAGCAAAAATTGTCAGCATGAATCCATGTGCGCTTCAAAGTCCAGACCAACCAGCTGTGATGGCTTTTGCACCGGCATCTGAAGCCGCAAGAGCTGACACTTCGCTTGGAAGAAACGATAATGTTGTGTCTGGCTGTCCACTGCATCTGGAAAGTATCAAATGCCCAAGGTAAAGCCTGAGCATCGGTACTCGCGTCGCTGGATTCAATAGCAAGTCCAATATGCTTGAGGTTGGTACCGCCAATACTCTTGCCAACTCAACAAGACCTGCCTCTTCCACCATTTTATGGTCAACTGGAACTGTATGGTAATAGTTCTGGACATGGTTCTTGATGGCGTCGCGGATTTTGGATAGCCCGGCGATCATGGCATCATCCTCGGTGGGCTGAGGCAAGAGACGATCAACGTTTGCCACCGTCGTAGTAGCGCCGGACTTCTCTTGTGGCATATATCCCCCATTGTTGGGTGGAGCACTCGGCTGCTGGTAGATTGGGTGTCTATTCTTTCTACGAGAGAGAGCAAAGAGGATAATTAGTCCGGCCAACAAGGCACCAATAACAGCACAAGCGATCCCAATACCAGCAACAGATCCATTTGTTAAGCCAGCTGGGCCTGGAGGGTGTGTTGGTAAGTTTGTCGGGGAGTTCGTTGAAGTTGCTGAGCTTGGTTGGTACAGTGTGGCGCTCGTTAAGGTGGTTGTGATTGTTAGAGAGTTTGTTGGAGAGCTACTTGTGCTCCACGAGAGGGTTGGAGTGATTGATACGCAACTACCACTCGTGCAGGTTACTTGCCCGTTCGAAAATTGAGCCTTGGTATAGCAATTGTTGCCACAGCCTCCGCAGTTGCTAGGATCAACTGCGGTCGCGATGCAGGTGGTTGCGCAAAACGTTGATGAAGGCGAACAGGATGAAACCGTCGTATCCGTCCTTCGTTGATGGGGTTGTTTAATGTTGGACATGTTGTAAAAACTGTGACTTTTAAGCAGTGGGTTCGAGAGAAGGAGATCAAGATTTTGGGAGTCTTGAATGTAAGCTTGGGGCCACTGAGAAAGGGTGGGCGGTGCTTTAAAAGCTACGGACAAATTCCTCAAGGCTTGCAACTTATACGGGATATGTCCCAATCTCAACGTAATGTCATGTTACGGAGCAAATTCATACATGAGGCATACCTTTTACACAGCCATGGTTCTCGATGAAGCAACAATAGGCATGAAAGCCAAGACCGAGGGTGAATGTCTCAGCCTCGACCTGTCGTTTCTACCGTAGTAATAATATGTTGAGCTAAATATAGGAAAGTGTCTTGGCATTGTTACACCGCATGGCCAAAACCAAGCAGTGGCTTTTTCAGTGGCCGCCGCCGTCAATCAACCAGCCTTTTTAAATGTTAGAAAAAGGAAAGCACAAACGGAGTGGAGAGTGGGGTACCTGGAGAAAGTGGCGCACTCTTCTTTCGAATCGAAGTTACCTCCCAGTATTTTCAGACCTCGCTTTTTCTGTCTATCTTGAATCTGCTAACAACCTCGCCTTCTACTCATTTTCCGTGCATCCTTATTTTTTCACTATGTCTGATAATGTCCCACGACCGGAATTAGTTATTGCCATTGACTTCGGCATGACATGTATAATCATATCATCTTCCTCCTATGGTGATTTATTAACTCCACGCAGGCACGGGCGTCGCATTTTGTAACGTATCTACTGGAGAGGAAAGACCTCGTTGCATTAACAAATGGCCTGGAAGGGGAGGTGCAGTAGTAGACAAGGTCAGTTACTGTGACTACTGGCAGTCTTTCACAACGCAACCATTGCCGGACTGACGAAGCTCTGCAGGTCCCAACTGTCCTCGTTTATCCCAAGAACTCCACCATCCCCTCTTCGTGGGGTTTCTTCTCCGAACATCCTGCTGAGCAGATGAGTGAAGGCAAGGAATGTAAGGAATGGTTCAAAACATATCTGGATGAAGAGAGGCTTCAAATGGCTCTGAAAGACCCAGGAAACAAAGGTATATGTCCGGCATCCATGCAAGAAGTTGAGAGGCTGTAAGTCCGAGTTCATGTGTTGGACGAATCAGTCAGTGGTAACTCTTGCAGGTACTGCGATTTCTTAAGATACCTGTACCAAACCATTCAGAAGAAGTTGCAAGGCGAGCTGGCGAATCGGTGGGAAGATGCGCATATCGAGTTTATCTTTAGCGTACCAACAACTTGGAAACCGGTTCCGACTGTCGAACGATTCCGGTCAACAATCCAGCGAGCTGGTTTTGGCAGCCATCCCAACCATCGGGCGGATATCGGGTTGACCGAGGCTGAAGCAGCAGCCGTACATACTTCACGCGAGTTTCCAAGATTGTTCAAGGTAATGATTCTTGGCTTGACTTCGGATGCCCATTGATTGATTGATTGATTAGGAGCGGGACGTCCTGCTGGTTTGCGATGTTGGAGGCGGGACAACGGTGAGAAGGCCCTTTCATAACCTTCCTGTTTCCGATATCATTTTTGTCAATATCTCATGAATGGTTCCAGGATCTAAGCGTCCTCCGAGTTACTAACACGGCCGGCGGATCTCTCAGTTTACAACAAATGGACGTTGTTCAAGGTCAGTCCCTCCTCTACTGCCGTCCCATTCTTTTCGCGTCCAGGATCTGACTATCTTCTAGGTGCGACAATTGGATCTGTTCAATTGGATACTGCTTTTGATACCTGCGTAAGGCAACGGCTCGATATGGCAAATCAAATCACACCTATTGGATTCCGGCCCCAAGAACTGGATGACATAGCATGGAAGATGGCGAAAGGCAGGGAATACCAAAATGCGAAGTGCGAATACGGTTCCTCGGATGATGACACAGAATACTTTACTGTTGCCATTCCTGGTCTTCGACCGGACTACGTAAACGTGAATGTGGGGATTAGCAACGGAGAAATGATGTTCAGGAGGTAAGTATACTTGCTCGCATGCTCAGTCCCGCAGAACAAGATCTGACTTCCTATCAGAGATGAGATACGAAGCTATTTCGATGCACAGGTAATTTTTTCCAGTAGTTTTGGAAGCAAGACGATTTAATATTTTCAGATTGCAAAGCTTTATGAACTCCTAGACAGACAGCTCACCCGCATACAACAAAAATTCCCGGAAGAACAAGTGGTGAGGTCATCTTGTTCCACTAGAGACCTTTTCAAATCATTAACTATCTGTAGGCCCATCTCGTGCTCTCGGGTGGTCTTGGCAACTCCGCCTACGTGTACAGACGCCTTCAAGACCGATACTCGTCCGGGAACGCGCCTTTCCAAAATGCTCGGGCTCTTAAAGTTAAAGTGGCACCAGAGCCACAGCTAGTCGTCTGCAAGGGAATTGTAGCTGACAGGGTCCAAAAGCTGAGAACGGGCACATCAGTACTGAATTGGCGATGTTGTCGTGCTTCTTACGGGACACTAGCCAAAGTAGCTTTCAATCCACAAAACCCTGAACATTTTGGACGAAGTCCAGTGAAGGACACTTTTGATGGAAAGCTATATATTCTGGAGTGCATTAGCTGGTTCATTAAGGAGGTAATATTTAACGGAGAGATTGTACGCCGACATTGAACCTTCATTGGAAACTAATTCGTGTACAGGGTGAGCCCGTCTCCATTGACCACCCGATCATCAAGAAATTTACTCGAAAGTGTCCTCCAGCGTCTCAATTTAACCCAGATCCTCCCAGGGTATTCCAAACCGACATTGTCACAAGTAACTTGGACAAGGATTTGCTTCCTCTCGTCATGAATTCCTGTACGTTATCCCTTCCTCCCCCACTAATACGGCTAACATATTACAAAGCTTGTTCAAAACTCTGTGATATCTCCTCGGATTTAACCAGTCTCCCACTCACAATGTTTAAGCTTAAAAATAGACATTGGTGGAATACGCGAGCAAAGTACCACCGCATTGAATACGTCATCAAGGTCGCACTTGGTGCCGCAGATATCCGCTTCGAGCTGTGGCATAATGGGCAGAAACTCAGCAAGGACAATCCGATCAAGGTTGAATGGTTTACCGCGGAGCCTCCGCCACAGGGTTTTCAGCAGAATACGTTCCATGCGTGGCAGGAACCTACTTTAAAGATGACGTAGAATTTAGAAATTCGGACGGGAGAAGCCTTTGGCATTCCTTAACTTGTAGTTCTTCAGCCATCCGTCTGCGCGAACAAAACATAATAAATGCACCGTTTTATGACTGTCTCCAGCCCACCACTGGATTTGTATTGTTATTGAGTAATGCCTTCTGAAATACCAAATTTCAAGGCCAGCACAACAAATTTCTCGTCTCGATGTTTTCCGACGCCCACGAGGAACACTTCAAAAGTTCAAGTCTTTCTTAAGTATTCACCCATCTTTAACAAGACATAAGTCATTGCTAGGAACATTTAATTCACTTAGAATGCCTCATTTTGCCTACAAGTTAGGTTAATGCCTCGATGTTTCGAAGTGTTACAGCCCGCAGTTTCCCTAAGCGAAGCCAAAGATTGTGGTGCTTTGGGTATAATAATATATAAAAGCAAAGCCTTTAATAATTCCTTATTATAAAGCTTATACATTTCCAATACTAATTAATAACTTAACCTTCCAGACTAATTATAACTCAAACTCGTGTTTTACTTGAGGTTATAAAAAGCTAGCCAAGCCAGCAAAGAATAAGATTATTATAATAATTATGGGTAGCATTGCCTCCTTTTCTTCTAATACTAGACTAATACCGGGTCAAACAAGTATTCGGACTTAAATTATTACTTGTCCCAAAAACGGATTTTAGACAAAGGAGGCTTGGTATAGTAACCGTTTTGCCGAAAACGCTAAGGCAAGCCACTCGGCCCACTTTGCTTAGAGCATAAGTTCCCTTCCAAACTCTTCTCGTTTCTACCTTTCTTGGTTCCCTTAGTCCAAACAGACTCTAATTATATAACGGACGAAAAGATTAGTACGGACGCTATTAAAAATGCCGAGAAAGCTGCTAAAGAAAAGGCCGAAAAGGAAAAGGAAAAGGAAAAAGAAAAAGAAAAAGAAAAATCCGAGAAGAAAGCCAACAAAGCAGCCGAAAAACGACAGAAGAAAGAGGAAAAGGAAGTCTTATCCAAGCAATTGTGCGAAAATTAACGCAGAAAACGCTTTGAAAAGTCTCCAAGAGCAGTACGAAGATCACGGCATAAAGTGACGGGATTACAGGGCATTTGTGCTTTACAGCACTTCAGTATCTGTTTTTAGCGCACTCGGTCACTAAATTTACCCTATAATTCTAGGCTATTGCCCTAAAAGCACGCTAGAAAGCGGGAGCTAGGGGTACCACACCTTTTTAGGGCTCCTCCCCTGTACTTACAAGGAATACCTTGCTAAAGAGCCCTATAGTAACTACCTATTTAGCGTCCAAGCGCTATCGTTGCTCTGCCAGCAGCGCTATTTACCCCTAAGGACTTCTCATACCTTGCGAATGTCTTATAGCGCCTCTTGAGATCTGCTTAGGGTATATGGCCTGGAGTCACAGGGCCTTATAGCGGGCTCAAGCTACTAAATTGTGCCCTGAGGAGTGCCAAGGGTCCAAATGCCCTGTAATCCCGTCACTTTATGCCGTGATCTTCGTAAGGCGAGTTATTATGACTCTTCTCCGCCGCGTTCAAGGGAAAGTAATAAACCGAGAGTTACCAGAGAGAAGAAATATTATTATGAGGAGGATAATTGGGAGGACAATGAGGCGTATCGGAGTTCGAGTTCTATTGGACTCGGGAAGAGGTATGCGGGGTTTGCGAGGAGGAGGGCAAACGCGAGCAGGTTGAGGGATGAGTATTTCCGTGGGGAATATGGGAGGGGGGCACATAAGGCGGGGTGGTGAGGCGTCCACGGTTTTATGAGCGGGTGGAGTAGGGGTCTGTTTTAAGGTACTGGAGGCTGTTCATGATTAAGTTTGAGCAGGAGTCAGGTTATGATGGCAGGGTCTTCGCTTTTGATTGGAGACTTGGAGCAAGTTCAGGACTGAACCGTGCGGGCTGGGTGAATGTCTGAATATTCTTTTGCATAGCAGCAACTACGTACTACCAGGAGGCGATCTGCAAATTGGAATCTTTTTCTCGTCTCTGATTGTGGCCAGTAGTTGATTTGATCACTGCTTACTGTATGGTCTTTTGGTAAGAGTAAAACCAAAAGATTTATTTATCTTCAGCCCTGTGCCAGACGTGGTATTTTCTATCGTGTTACGAAGTGAGGTGTGGTTGCTGGTGTCTGTCACGTGACAAGTGTGATCAAAGCCACATGATAGGCACCTAATCTTATGGGGCTGAACGCCATGGGGCTGTGTACTATGGGGCTTAATACCCAGTATCCCTTCGTCTGGCGAGACATGGTCCGTACTAGCAAGGGGGCCTGGCTCAGGGTAAAAAGGCGATTTATAACTAATAAGTTTCTAAGCAAAGGTATGTCTTTTCGCCCTGAGCCAGGCCTCCTTGCTAGTAAGGACCATGTCTCACTAGACGAAGAAATAATATAATTACTATATTTATAAATTATTTATCTAAGTATCTAATTAGAATTCTTATATAAAATATAATTATAATTAAATAATTAATAGTTTTATTTTAATTTTATATAATATATTAAATAATTATTTCGGAAATAATTATATTAAATTAAAACTTTAATTTATATTCGATTTTTAAAGCAATTTTTATATAAGAATTAATATTAAATTTAAGTTTTTAATAACTAATTATTTTAAATAAATAAATAAATAAATAAATAAATAAATAAAAATTATTAATTAATATTTTAATTAGAAATTATATTTATATATTAATTATTAATAAGCTTTTATTTAATATAAAACTATTAACTAGTTTTTATTTATAATTATATCTTATATTTCTTATTAAAACTAGTTTATTTAAGAAAAAGCTAAATAGAAATAAAATTAAAATATAATAAATGAATTATATAAATTATAATAATTTATTTAAAGTTAAATAAATTAAATTAAAAAATAATATATAATATAGGCTAATAAATACTATTAATTAATTAATTTTAAAGTCGGAAATAAAATATAAATTATTATTAAATACTAGAAATTCAATTATTAGAACTATAAATTAAAGAATTAAATAAAGAGCTTATTTGAGATTTTAGAAAAATATAATTACTTTTTTCTTTTAAAATTATTAGAAATTTTAAAAATATATTCGGTTTTTTATATAAAGAAATTATAAAAGAATTTCTAGAATTCTTTATTAAATTATATAAATCTGAAATTACTTTTAATAATATTAGGAAATAATAAATAGAAATATAATATTAAATAAATTATAATAATTAAGCTAATAAGAAATAAATTAAAATAAATATTTAGAATAATATTTAGCTTTAATATTAAATAATAATATTTTTAGCTTTATAATAATATATTAAACTTATTAAATTTTTTATAAAATATAAAATATTAGCTAAATTATATAAAAAATAATAATAAATTCTTTTAAATTATATATAAGAAATTAGTTTATTTAAAGAAAATAATATAAAAATAAAATAAATTAATAGCTTTTATAAAGCTTAAAAATAAGTTTTTTTTTAAAAAAAAAGTAATATTATAAATTAGTATTTTTTATTTAATATTAGTATAGCTATAATTATTAATAATTATATAATATAGTTATATAATATAGAAATAACTAGAGGTAATAGGATATAGGTAACGGGTAATAATTATATAATCTCATATTATATAAGTAATTTAACTAGTAAACTAGACTTCTTTAGGCTTAGTAGATTTAAGAATTATATATTAATACTATAATATTATAATTCATACTTTAAAATAATAACTTTACTAATTAATATAACTAGTATTTTTATATCTATATAATAGTACTATATATTACTAGTAAACTAATACTAATTAGTTTATATATATAGATTAAAAAAGATTTTAGATTAGTCCTAAAAGTATTTAATAGCCTAAGACAAATCTAGTCTATTTTATATTAAAAGAGAGAACTATTTATTAATTTTATAAAAGTATTTAATAGCCTATAGAAAAGATACTAGCTCTTATTAATTAATAAATAATTAGCTATTTAACTATTTATTTATTTAACTTCTATTATTTTTTAAAACTAACTTCTTTTAATCCTAAGATTACTTTTTTAGAAACCATTTTTTCTATTTATATAATACTTATATTTATAAAATTCTTTTTCCGGAATATATACTTTATATATATCTTTAAAGCTTTTTAACTACTACTTCGATTTTATTATTAAATCAAGTTCTTTAAGCTTTAGACTTTTCTAGAATTATAATATTTTACTTCCTAAATTTCTTATTATAAATAAAATATTTAAGAGCAAAATATTTATTTTAATATCTTTAACTAGATATCTGAATTAGATATCTAAATACCTTTATTATTAAACCCTTTCTATAAACCTATTATAACTATCTTATCTTTAAACCTCTTTTATTATAAATTATATATATATACTAGAAAGAACCTGAATTCGGTTTAGTATAAATATTAATAAGAGAAAGAAGTATAATAGGTATATATAATAGTATATAGATAGGTATTAGATATTATAGATCTAGTTCCCTATTTTAAGTAAAGCTTATAATCGGAATTATATAAATAATCGAAATTATATAAATTATATGGGATTATATTTCCTAGTTAAGTAAAGTACTTTATAGGTTTAGTTAAGTACTAGGAAATATATAAAGAGATACTCCTAGCTTTAGAAAGGGATATTAATTAGTTTTTTATTAGAATTAATTCTTGGAATTAGTTATACTTATAAGTATTACTTTATAGCTTACTTATCTTAATTACTTATATATTATCCTGCTATTATATATCTTATATTCTAATTAATCTAATCTTCGGGAAGTAGTTTATTACGAGATAGTTAAGCTATTAATAAATAAAACTATTAATAGCTAGAGTATTAATTAGAAGAAGCGCTTTTATTATTACTAGAGTAATCTAACTAGATATTTAGGGAAGTGCCTAGTTAAGTACTTTTTATACTACCTAGTTAAGAGAAAGAAGTAAAATTCAGATATTCCTAGAATTAGCTAGTAAGATAATAATAATAGAGAAATTAGTAGCGGCTTGCTATTATATTACTAAGTTAGAAGTAGAGATATAATAGAGAGAAGATCTAGAGAAGCTAGAAGCTCAGATTTA